TGAGCAAGTCAAAGTAAATTTGACAGACAGAAGAAAAACCTTCTCTGATGCAGTTTCTATAAAGCGCTAGTCACCAAAATTTTGCAGGGGATCAGTCTGGACCAAAACAACAAAGTTGCTAATCATCCCTGCAGGTCTGAGACATGAAAAGTAACTAAAACGTTGCCCTAAGGTTGAAATTCTCTCCAAAATCTTACAGTGATTATTATTACCATCAGCCAACAGACCGGAAAAATAAAACAAACATTCCCATCACTCTTCCCACTCCTGGCAAAAAATCATTTGCCCAGTGGCCCAAGAACTTATCCAGAAGTCACTACTTTTGTTATGAATTTACTAATACTCATCTTCATGTAGATGCTAAAGAAATTTAAAATAATGACTGTTTCTCACAGCCAATTTGTATTGTTTCCTCTTTTGTTCCCAACGGAAGCAGTTTCTGGTGCCTGGTGCAGCACCACTATAGGACACAGCTGTATAAGTTACTGCACATGAAAGCCTTGACAAAGACAGGCCAGTGAAAGGACAGCTCTATCACTGCTAGGTGGAATATTACATTTATATTTGGCAAGAATTCAAATAAAACTGTCTATTTGGTGAAGTTATCTGTACTAACAACTCTTTGAAGCAGTTCGGAAGGACAGAAAATGGGTCTGGGAGCCAAACTGCACTGCCCACTGCTGACTGGCTGACTGCACTGGAAATACCTGAGAAAAAAGGTTGGCTGCTTCCCAGGGCACCCTTCAAGGAGCATCTGAATCTTTAATGAACGGGTCCATTTAGTAGTGAAACTGTTATCTTGACCATGACACAAAGGAGACCACAAAGAAACATGAACACGTCAGCAAGTCTCTGCCACCTAATTCTTAATTAATGACTGCAATTCCGAATTACAAAGCTCCTCTCGGCAAATTGCATCGACTGTACCAAGTGTGGCTGCAAGAACCAGTCCTGGTCAGATCACTCCACTTGCCCTCCAGAGCTGGTACCACCCTTCCCCAGATGTATGTGAAAATAAATTTCACTCAAGTTCCAGAACTCTAGTGAGCACACCTCATTTGTCTTCAAAATGCAGGTGTGAACCCGTGTCATCTTTATTCTGAAATGAACTGATCTGCACAGAGCCAAGTAGTAAAAAGAAAGAAAAAAAAGTACAAAAAATAGTTTCACTGGGTTTAAGTTCATTTGTTATAGCTGATTTGGCATAACTGAAAATCTAGTAGTATCTGCATTCCTGACTACATTAACAAGCTACTCTATTTTCTTCTTATTCTGAAGTACTCCCCAAGCCTCTGTTAATATCGCTTGACCTTTATTAAAGACCAAGCATTAGCTGGCAATTAGATTTGGTGATCCCTTTGGTGATTGAGATGCAGTGATTTACTGTAAATTATAAATAGTTCAAATGTTTCATTACGTTTCTTCTTTACACAAGCTCTGTGGCCAGGTAAGCACTGCCATGACATTCACTGTTAAATGATCTCATTAAACTTCTTAATTTAAGTGGCACAACACTTCACCTGCCACATTACCCAAGGACTCCTGCAACGCACATTAAATATTCAGCATCAATAGATGCTCCACCATCGTTCACCTTGTTGGGAGTGAAATTTCAGTCCCTGAACATACGGTTGACTACCTGGTGCTGTTTGTCAGAGTCAATAAATAATGCAAATAGATATTTGTGTAAAAGAAGAGGTTAAAGACATCAGTAGCTTTCACACAGAGTTTTGAAAGAGGCTGTAAAAGGAAAAGGCTTAAAACCATGAAAAGATGCCAGTAAAATTTAAGAAGTTAAGAAAAAAAGGAAGATTTTTTTTTCCATTTCTTTATGAATGTAACAATTGTGAGAGATTCCTTGACAGCCCTGAAGGCAGGCGTGCTTTGTTTTTATTCACAGCCTTAGCACTGCATAGAAAAAGCTTTCTGAGAGCAGAAGGAGGGCAAGCGGCAGGAACGCTCGGGCTGGGTGTCATTGCAGAGCTCTGCCACAGCTCCGCATCCCTCTTGCCCGCGCGGACGTGGAATGGCCGAGGGGGCCACGGGCTCAAGGATGGGCTGACACACCGGATCGTCTCCCGTCGGCCAACACATCCCCTGTACGGCCTCACAACCAAGCAAATCCCAGAATTTGTTAGGGGCTTCTTCAGTGCAGGCTGTGTCTGCAGCAGGGATTCAAGGCGCAGCAACACCTCGAAGCACCGGGGCTGGGACCCTGCTTTGCCGAAAGGGCCACCTCCACCAGGGCTTCACGAACTGAACACCAAGGCCAGAGGATAACAGCAGCAGTCCCTGAATCTTCTTAGGTGGTGGCCTATGCTTCACTTTACACCTCCGAACTGTTTCCATCCCCAAGTGAACAGTTCAAACTTTTATTCTGTCTTTAATAGCACACAACCCTTGACATCTGCTTCTGGAGGCTCCTTCTGAAGGATGAAGGGCTCTTAGTAATCGTAATGGAGCCTATGAACGTACCAGACTGCTCTCCAGACAGATATGGGCTTCATCATACAGCATTAACCCCACATACCAAATGTGTTTTTCTGACTTAAAAGACTGGATTAGTTTTTATTATCAGAAGAGAAGTCGTAAAGGTTTCCATGTTACAGATGGAGTGGCAGATGGGAAGCAAAAGCTTAATGTGAAGCAGTCCTGGATAAAAACTATTAATCCACAAAATTCATATGTTCCTGTGCAGGGAAACCTAGCAATAATACTGCAATATGACTAACCAGTGTGAGAAGTGTAAACTGCCTCTAGCGCATTATCTGACAAATCATGGCATGATGGCTGAAAGAAGGGGGAAAAAAGCCCCAAACCCCCAATTTACTATTTCCTGGAAAAACAAGCAGCTCTTTCTGTGGTATGCAGGAAGGTAATATCTTCCCAAAGAGCATAAAGAATATTAATTTATAGCAACTCCACTGTGAAGCTGAAATGGACTCATATATATTTTTGATGAGATAACGTTTTACAGGGTTTATAGCTGCAACATTACATATTCCAAAAATTTAACGGTACCCACAAGTCACTGTCATTAAAGTTGTAGTGTTAAAAAAAGGCTTTCTATTTTGTGTGCAAGCGCATCGCGTTGCAGGGAAACGTATTTTCATCAGTTCTGGTAACAGCATGTTTGGGCAGAAGGGGAAGCAAGGACATGGAAAATAGAGAGCACAGAGAAATGAAGAGCTGGTTTTTTTTATTTTTATTTTTATTTTTTTTTCCCTCCAAATGAAGGGTGCTTGTTTAGAGCTTTGGCAATGTTAAGATGCCACCATAATATTCCAAAGCCATTAATGCAGAGCAGACTGCAGCATGCAGCCTGCTCAAGAATCCCTGTGATTATTTACGGCCATGTCCATAAGTGGCTAATGGCCTTTGCCCCCACAGCGCGGCACAGGGTGACAGCCCGCGGTACCGGAGGATGTTCAGGGAGGACTCCTGACCCCGCAGCCAGACAACTGCCGACGCGCGACAACGTGACCTATTTAGGCTCCCCCTGCCCGGCAGGCGTTCCAGCCACTTATTCTTCATCCATTCCTAGAATTAATCTTCCTTGATTCAAATTCTCATCACCTGCCTTTCCCTTTTGGGCTTTGCATTTCTCTGCTGTTTATCACCAGCACAGCAATCCTCACTGCGAAAATGAATTATAGAAAATCACAAGCTAGCCCTTTCCCAAATTCAAGAAACACACAGATTACTATGGACCCTCTTCTACAGCCACAGATAATATGTTAAAAGTCTGGAGTCACTTCCTTTTGAATACTGAAAGTGTCTGAATCAAATGAAAAATGAAAAAACAGGAGTTCTTAATTCAAATCCCCATATTCTAATATCAAAATAACCTCTCTGCCTCTCATTTTCTTCCCTAATTTTCTGCCCCTAAATGTGCTGCATTCCTCTGGCAATTGCTTAGAGAAAGACACCAGCCATAAAGCCTTCCATCAGTTCTCACAAAATCCTTCCTAAGGCAAAAACTCAGGCTGATTTCCATTTTCACTTCAGTGGCAGAATTTGAGAGGGATCTTATGGAATCTAATCAGCAAAAGGCACCGAAAGAAGCTAACATTATTTGTTTTTTTAGAAGCAAATTTCACCATCATTCATTAGAGAATTACCCAAGAAAATTATTTCCCATTTTCTCAAATCCTTTTAACATACAGGGAAATAGAAGTCAAGAAGTCACAAGGGGAATTTCCTCTTTTCCTCTTCTGCATAACTTTTATAGCCTAAGAGCAACGGTTTAACCACATCTGGATTTTTTGATGGACTATCTGCTTTTGCACAATGCAGTAAACCTTACTGAATGCAGCTGCTCGCTTATGTAAATCTAGAAAGAATATAATTTCACTTAAAATCACAAGCCTTATCATGTAGTGGTGCATGAAGTTCTTTGCCTGATGGCATCTGAATAAGAGATATACAGGTGACGGCTGGTGTTGAAAATATAACCGACTCCTAGCAACGTTTTTGTCTTCTATCATTATCCGTTACAGAAAAAGTACCAAAAAGAAGGAAAAGGAAAAAATGTTGTCACTGAATCTATATTCACATCTTCAACATCTCTCAAGGTGTCAAATCAAACTGCCGAGCAGAGATCTGCAAGGGAGAAGTCTCCGTGTCTGAGGTTCATGTGTTTAGCTGCTGTTAGCTGCTTCAGTGCTACTTTTCTCATCCCCTGTGGCAAATGCCCCGTGCTGGAAATAACAACTCAATGAAGCAGCACCTTCTTCCTCAGTAAAAGTGAAGAATCAGTGTCCCTGTCCTTCTTAGTTAAGCAATGTAGCAGTGTAGGGTAGAGTCAGGCTTAACTAGTGTTTCTATGGCAAAAGTGCAGATATCAGACACCAGACTTGACAAGAGGAGTCTTCTGCTCTAAGACAGAAGAAACTGCCCCTCTGACCTCTACCTCTTGCAGCACAGCACTGACATGTTGTCCCTATATCATTAAACACTTCTGGAGTAAAACGCGCACGTTCTTAACATGTTCATCCTACCTGATGGGGTAGTCAGCAGCGCTGAGGTTAATGAAGAAGTCCCATGGCCAGTCATTCATCTCCATCAAGTCCCTCATGCTCTGCAGGTAGGTGGACAGCAGACTTGCTCCTCCCCAGATAGTTGCCATTCTCCAAGAAGTCACTCTTACGTTTGGGTACTGGTTGGCAAACTGGAGCACTTGCCGGTGTAAGTAATTGGATCGCTTTGCAGGGAAGAGAAAAGCAGTGCATTCAAGTTACTCTGTGCAGAATTGCCCCTCTCTGTATTGTCTGCACTTGCTGAACGCTGCCACTTCCAGGTCCCTTCACTGCAAACCAGGGCTCACGCTGCTTCCAGCACGCAGAGGGCTCTGAAGGCGCTCAGGGCTCTGAGGGATCACCTTGCTGAGCCTTTCCACTGCTATGACCTACCCTGCAAAAGTGCACAACCTTGTTTTGCTAAATGAACCCTCTGGAAGGCTGCAGAGCCCCTCTGTTATATTGTTTTTATTACTACCAGGATAATCATCCATCAATGTAATTAACCCCTACTTATCATTTATCATCAGTGCATTCCAAAGGGGGTTATTGATGGTGCTGACTAGTTATTATATCTGTTTTAAAGTGGGAAACACTTTGTCCAAGACACTTCAGTTCTCCATCCAGCAGGCCACAGCTGTCAGTCTACATCAGTTTATCAATTACTATTACTAAATGTACAACAGGCAGACACAAGACAGCACTAGCAGACATATAAGGAGAAATAAAGGCTGTAATACAGGGAGGATAGTAAGAAAGAAAAAGGATACACAACAGATGGGGAAACAAAAAATGAAGTTTATTATGAGTAGCAGAGATAGATAGAAGATGAAGATGACGACGACGCTAGGCAGACTGACAGATGGCAAGACAGGCAATTCATAACCAGTGACATATACCTTGTCAACGTGAATGTAATAAAAATGGTCTTTATGGTAAATAGCCTTAAACATGCGTTGGAGCTGCCGAGAAGCTCTGCCATGGACCACCAAGACAAACGCGATCCTGACGGGGTTGGCTGGCATGTATTCCACAGAATCCTCGTCCCACTGCACGTTGTTGTTGGCTTTTCCTGTTTGGAAACAAAACATAGGAGATGTCTGAGCAATCTGCAGAGCGGGGATGCAGACAGTGGTGTGCATTTATTCAACTGACTGCTAAAGGCCGGGAACGCTCACAAAGGTGCAAATAAACAAATAAATAAATTTTAAAAGGCCTTGTTTTATCCAAAGATCCTCGCTTCCTCATTCCTGTGATGTGGATCCGGGCAGTTCTGCTGAGAAACTCAGACTTAACATGAGCCAAGGAGTTATTATCTTGCTTATTATCTTGACTGATAGCAATTATCTGCAATGGTATACAGATCCTGGAACATTTAAAGGGAAACCTGCACACCTTTGCTTTTCCAGGCATGACAGGGAGCCTTACAATCCTATTTATAATTTATATTCAGCTTTATTTTAAACCACGGATTTCTATTCTCCATTTTCTAAAGAATACATTGCAATTAAAGGTTATGACAGGAAGCACTGGTTAACTGAAGAGCTGGAGAGAAATTTGTATTGAGGAAAGCAAAGTGTTTTGCTTGGTGTGTGGCATCTTTTCAACTCAAAAATCTGAACTGGATGGAAAAAAAAAATCTCTTCATTCAAAAAGTGGCACTTATTTTTCCATTAAACGACCTCTTCAGCCCTCTGATCTTGTGAGGGCTTCTCTTGGCAGAAATGACTTAGGAAGACACTTGAAATTTTGAATACAAGCAGAACAAGGGAAAAACCTGCCCCCAAAGCTGCAACTTCATGTGAAACCCTTAACACGGCTTCTATTGCGAGACTCCTAGAGCTCTGAAAGGGCAGTATGTAGTAGAGAGGTGCCCCGTCTCTGGAATGAGGCTCCGTGTGAGCTATCCGAGGGGCTCACGCAGCTCCGAGCCTGCCCAGGGACGCGGCCCTTGGACCAGCAACACGAGGGAGCCGGCCAGGTCTGAGCGGGCCCTGGACACATCTCCTCCTCCTGGCAGAGCCCCTGAGGACATCCCTCTCCAGCAGCTCTATCCCTTGCTTAGCGCCATTTCAGTGGCCACAGTTGTGTTAAGGCTCATAGGGAGCTCCTGGCACCTTGAATTGCTCTTAAAAGGGACACCAACAACTTAAATGGCATTTCTGTAAAGATCCAACCACCACTAACACAGTAAGACTTGGGATGAACGGCATTAAAAGATTAGAAATGACAAACTTTATATCTTTTATCATTTTTCCCCATGCCGCTGACCATTCCTCATGGGTTTGCTCGGGTCTCCTACACAGCAGCCGGGACAGCAAGGAATGGGAAAGCAAGAGACTCTGTAACCACAATTGCTGAAACACAGTTTTTCTTTTAAACTGCTTTGATGTTTTCTTTTTAAACTGCTGATGAAGTCCCGATGACAGACTGAAGTATTTTTGGTGGGTTTTATCACATTTTTTGGATAACTCTTTACTAAAATTAGTGGCTTTCTACAATGGCATGTAAAAGGTGAGAGAAGAATTTTAAAACAGCTGTACTGCAGGGCTTTTATTTTAAACTGCTTTCAGTACCCACACTGTCATTTACCTAACAATTATCGAGAAAAAATCCTACCAGATTTTCATCTAAACTGACACCTCACTTCATCAGGTTTCTGTAATAAATTCTTGAGGTAACTTATTCCCTCTTTGTCATTTTCCTATTCTGGGCTCTTTTTTTCCCCATGAGTTTCCTCTTTGTTTCCCTTTTAAATCCAGATTTCTGTAGTACCATTCTCCACCTGCATACAGTTATAGCCTCCTTAATCTAATCCTTTCCTTGGCTGCAGGGAATTTCAGGCAGGTAACAAGGTTATGTTTTTCCACATGTCAGAAAAGCTGCTGCTTCCGCTGGATTCAGGCACTTCCCTATTTTCACTCTGCAGTTCATTAGCAACCTCTATTTAGCAGACTCATAACGAACCACGCTGGTTAGCAGCACCTGGCTGCTCTCTTGGCATTCCCTGCAGCTCAGGCCACCTCTGCTGGCCACCTTCCCATGGGCCCTCTTCTGCGCTTCCAAGACCTATCAGGCCAGCAGGGAATTCCCATCTTTTGCCATTCCTAATATTTATGGCAGTGTCTCAAAGTGCAGGAAGATGGCTCTGAGCCTCCCTACAAGAAGCTTCTTCAAGCAGGTCAAACTCCAGATTTGTTCTCCACTCCCTAACCCTGGTTAGGGTATGACGTGCCTGCAGAGAGAATGCTCTTATGGATTTAGGGAATGCCCTTTTTCTATGGTGTCTTACACACATGAGTATTTTATAAAACACTGTTTTTATGCTTGTTAAAACAAAGTAAAAGAAAAATCCTCAAGAATCCTAAGTTACAGTTATATCTTGAGAGCATGGCTCTAATTGGGGAAATAGATTGGGAAACAGTTTCACACACATGAGCGGGTGGGTAGAGCAAATGGACTTGTCCTCATCACTTCCACGGGGCACACGTGAATCAGTAGCTCTCGTCAGGCTTAGCAACTGTCAGCTGCAAATTTCTGAGAGTTCCCAGTTTCCCTAGGTCCTGGTAGCAGCAGTCACAAAATGCCTAACGCTGGGCTTCTTGGGAGAAACTGCCAAGAGCTTCAGCAAAAGTGACAATGCTCACGTGGATCATAGAAAACTGTTTGAGCTACTGTAACAAAATGTATTTGCTATTGAAAGAAGAGGCATTTTGCACTGACACCAACTGCCTTTCATAAGCACACTTGGTTGAAATGAAGTTGCACTGCTGGCTTCCTACCCAAAGTATAGCCCACTTTACAGCAGTGCTAGGAGGAAGCACTAACCTATTCTGCATGGAACAGGAGTATCACACTTCTGCAACTTCCAATAGCCTTTACAGGCCCTAGGGAAATGAGGGCTCAGAACCGAAAGATTAACCCTCAGCTGCTGCAGCATTGCTAAACGCCAGGATAATAACCAGAGGCAATCACTGCCGTGTTTGTTGTGCTGTCACACAGTGCTATCACCCACCAGTATCACTCAACTCATCTGCTAATATTTTACTTCTGTTGCTAATTAACAATATCCTCAGGCTTCTCCAGCAGCACAAAGCAATCTTTTAATTAATTTTGTAAGCCATATTAGTTTTTATAAATTAATCCATCGATTTCTATTCTCAACTGGCATTGCCATGTCTATTCAGCACAGCCCCTCTGTGCACAGGCAGCTGGATGCTGCCGCTGCCCTTGCTGCAACCCCTCTTGCTGTGACACCAAGGGGCGGCTGATAGAGGACACCAGAAGAGTTATTGCTGAGTGGTTCTGCACACTATTCACTGTTAGCACATCCAGAAATGAAATGAGCAGCCCTGCCGGTATAGCTGCAGCACAAGTCATAACCACACCAAAGAGACCAGAAATACGCACTCCTTGCTTGAACCCACACCAGAGGCCCTGTCGTGACACTCCTGCAGCGGGAGATGCCCAAGCGGTAGCAGTCCAACTCAGATTCCACTATAAATTCCTTCTTTGAAATTGCTTGCAACTCATAACAACTCAGTGGGTTGAAAATTTCCAAGCTTTAGCTTTTGTCCAACAATGTTTTTCATCTAGGTTAGAGTGAAAACAGTTCTGCTTTCTTTGAATGAATACAATAAGAAAAATTACTCATTGCCTCATCAGAAAATCCAGTTTTTGTATCAGAGCTATCACTGGAGTAGTTGGAATATACAAAATGAAACATATAACATACTGGTGTGCCAGGAGGCTCTAATGAGAAATCTTTGTTCGAGGGCTCGGTAATAGCAAAATTTAACTGGGCTTAGGTAAGAACATCCTCTCCTTCAGGAATAAGGCGCAACAATCCATGACAGAAGTGCCTTGTTTGGCATCAGGGTCCCAATGGGATGTTCTCCCTGCCTGCACTATTCTCCAGTTACCACAGCTTGCACAACCAAGGTAATTCCTGAAACACAGTATGTGTTAATCATCCTTGGATAAAAAGTACATTTTCCTATACCAGAACCTAGAAAATCACCTCAAACAATATAAATCCCAACCTTAGGTTGTATGTTTTCATCTACAGTCAAGGAAATCATTCATTTGTTTGTGAAGCCACGTTCCTTATAAAAACAAGTCACGTGAATGGTCTTAAATGCGGCTTCTCTTTGTGGATTTTATCTCACTCAGCAAGGAAAAAGAGGTGAAATCAGCTGAGCGGATCTGTGCAGCTGTCCCCGGGGCACAGGGATTTGCGAGGAATGCTTATGCTTGGCAGAACGAAATGCTACTGGATATGTTCCGCAGATTCTCTTAAAATTGCTGCTACCTGTCCTTTCCTTTTGCAGGTTTATTATAAGCACTTCGGATAAACTTCAGAAATTACGCTGCTACTGAAGAGCAGATAATCATTTTTTACAGTAATGTTTTATCTCAACAGTACTGCTTTAGTGTTGTTCTTTTTTATTCTCAGATTCTATTATGAATTGCAGAAGCAATTTATGATCCTCCGTAACTTCTTATGATCAAGTAACCCATAAGCAAAAATCAATGCAGGGTAGGTGGGAAACAGTGAGACACAATTTGCAAGCGCTCAGATTATGAGTCCATTTAACATTAAAGAGAGAGATTTCTGCAACTCTCCTCTACGCTGAGCAGAAGCCCAGCTCGGACCAGGGGGCTGCAGACGTGGCACTCGGCGTCTGCTTTAATCATTGCAGGAGATGAGAGCAGGAACGTAGGGTGGCCGCAGGAGCGGAGTCACTGCCCTGCAGCTGGGCTATTCATTTGGGGAGATTTCCTGAAAGTTTCTATACAGCAGAGTTGAGGACTATTAAGGAGTTCTGTATCCTGAAATGCAGAATTTCAGTACAGCAGAGGAAAACCACTGTAGTGGCAGATCTGGTTTGAGCTCCTCTTTAAGCCTCATGTAGAGGATTTCTTCCTTTTCTACAAACAAAAAGTGAGTGTGAAAAAAGCATGGGTGGAAGACAGAGGCAGTGTATGGAACTGTTCCATATTCACAGGGGGCTCAAAAGAAAACAAGGGGATTTTATTCTTTTCCAGAAATGAAGTTCTTTCATTTTGGAA